TGGCGCCGACGGGGCACCCCCTCCCCCGCGCACACACCGATAGGTTGTCTGCAGCGGTCACGCATGGCTCCCAAGAGCGGACCCCCTTCTTTGGGCACCTGGCGACCGTGTTCTTCGCTGGCATACTGGTGCGTGAGGGTTGTAGGCTGCGGGCCACGCAGAAACCAATGCCGCCGAGGCCCCTGAGCATGTGGCGTGGGGCTTCACGCCCAAGGGTTGGGTGGCCCCAGTGTTCACGCCCTACTGGTCGCCTGCCGCCGCCGCCGGCCCACCACCGCCACCCGCCCCTTTTGAATGCGGAGACGGCACTCATTCTGCTGCCCCCTGTTCCCTCCCCACGCACAGGTGGTGGCCGCCACAACTTGGGACGTGCACCGCAACATCCGAGCCAACGACCGCCCCGTCACGCCCGAGCAGCAGGCGGCGCTCGAGGAGTGGCTGGCGGACTGGGGGCAGCGGCGCAGCGGCGGCGGCGGCGGCGGCGCGCGGTAGCCGCGCAGGCAGCAACAGGCAGGGCCTAGGCGCACCCGCCTGCCTGCTCCCTCCCTGCAACCGGGCCATGGCGCCCTCCCCGCTCTCCCTGCAGCCTGCGGCCGGGCGGCGGCCGGCCGGCGCAGGCAGCGGCAGCGGCAGCTGCTGCAGCAGCGGTGCCCTGTTCAGCAGCAGTAGCAGGTCGGGCCGGTGGCGGCGGCGGCCCGGGCCGGCCGCGGCCGCCGCGGCGCGCCAGCCGCAGCAGCAGCCCGACCCTCACGCCGTGCTGCGCGTGTCCCGCGGCGCCAGCCGCCGCCAGCTGCGTGCCGCCTACATCGAGCGCATCAAGCTGCTGCACCCGGACGTCAGCGCAGCCGGCGGGCAGGACACCACCGCAGAGGCGGCCGCGCTCAACGCCGCGTACGAGCGGCTGATGGCGGCCTACGGCACCAACTCTCGGGATGAGGGGGGGAGGGGGGATGAGGAGGAGGGTGGCGACCCTCTGGATGTGTTTGACCTGCCAGAGGCGGAGCCAGACCGGCTGTTCGTCAACCCCTTTGCCTGCTACAACATCAGCCCGCTGCAGGTAGGCGCGGCGGCGCCAGCCTCCTGCCCGCAGCCTGCCCAGCGTGCATGCGCGTAGGGCGCTGCCACGCGCGCCCTGCATCCGCACACACACCCAATGTACTACCGCGTACCGCCGCGCCGCGTGTGGCCTGTGCAGTGGGAGGAGCTGCAGCAGGTGGCGAGGGAGGCGGAGGCGGCGGGGCAGGACCCGTGGTACGCGCTGCAGCAGCAGGGGGTGCAGTGCAGCGAGGCCGCCTTCGTCTACCTGTCGCCGCAGCAGGTGCGGCGGGCGGCCCCGCACGGCTGTCCGCGCCCTGCTGGCAGCCCTGCTGTGCCCGCATGCCGCCCGCCTGGGCACAGCACGCCAGCATCTGTGCCGCTACGCTTGGCCCTCGCCTGCCCTCCCCGTGACTGCGAACACCCGCCCCGCTGTGCCTGCTGCCCCCGCATGCAGCTGGCGCTGGTGTCGGCTGAGCTGGAGCGCGCCTCTGCTGCCCTGGATGCCACCAGCCAGCAGGCCGCCGCTTTCTTCCTGGCCGACTGCCTGATGCGTGCCCGGGTGGCCAACAACCGCATGCCCACCCGCGCCAGCAGGTGGTGAAGGCGGGCGGTGGGCCCTCCTGCTGTGAACCTGTCCTTTCCTGCTAGCTAGTTCCGCGCCCCTCGTGACCTGTCTGGTGCCGGGCAGCGCCAGCCCTGCTGCTCCACAACATTTGTTGCATTTGCGCCCCCTCATGTTTGCCTCGTGCGGTGTTTGGTCTGCCGCACCTGCCGGCTGTGAAACAAAATGGGATTACAAGAGAGCCGGAGACAGAGCAACGGAAATCCTTCTCAGGAAGCTGATAGCTACGGGTGGGAGTCGCCGGGCGGTGGTGCACGGGGGGGGGCAGCCAGCGCCCAGGGTTCCGCCTGATGCGGCAAGGGAAGGGCAGCGGGGGCAATGTAGGAGGCGGTGAAAGGAGTGGGGTTTTGGGGGGGTTCTCTTCTCGCTGGGTGACGGGGATGGCATGTACACGCTTGCAAGGGAGAGAGGAAAGAATTACACGAAGGGGGGTGCAGGGCAGGCGCCCCGCAGCTGCCACCAAACAGAAATGGGGGTCAGGTTTACACACACACGGCGGCCGGTCAGGCGCCTCATGCCGGTGCCGCCGCTCAGACGGGCACAACCTCCTGCATGGCGCGCGGCAGCGGGACGGTGGGGCAGGTCAGCACGCCTCGCCGCGCGGCGCCGCCTGCTGCCGCAGGGCTAGCCCCCACCCGCTGGCCTCGTTGCTCCCAGCCTGCGCCGCCCCATCGCCCCTCTCTGGCCAGCCAGACCCGCATGTGGACGCATGTTTACAACTCCGGCACCCCACCCCACCACCACCCCACTCCCCCGCTTACCTTCTGCGTGATGCGCTCGTACACCTCGCGGCATTTGAGGCCCACGATGGTCTGGAACAGCCCCGTGCCGTTGTTGGAGCCCGGGAAGGAGGAGTTCTTGAGCATCTGCTGCGTGATCTCGCCGTAGAACTTGGCGCTGGTGTTGGACAGGTGGCTCTCCATGTAGATCAGCTCCTCCAGCTTGTCAAACTGGCCGTCCATCTCCAGCACGCTCACCTCCTCGCCGTAGTAGGTGTCGGGGCCGTAGAACATCTTGATGCCTGCGGGGCGGCACAAGTTTGTGAGGGGGCGGGGCGGGGGCGGCGGTGAGGGGGAGGAGGAGGAGGGCGGCAGGAGGGAGGCGGGAGGGAGGCAAGAGGGCATGCGTGCGGGCGCTCGCAACCTGCCCCTGCGCCTGCCGCGGCCCGGCTCCGCCCCTGTGTGCTCACCGGGGAAGGAGCAGGTGAGCTTGCGGCCGCAGGGGATCCACGACACGGTGGAGCCCTGGTCGAAGAGGTAGACGGGGTCAAACAGCTTCTTGCCGTCCTTCATGATCAGGCGCACGCGCAGAATCTTGCCCTCCTTCTCGTCGGGCACCAGCTGGGTGGGCAGCACCTGCGGCGGGGTGGCGGGGGTGGGGGCAGGGGCACGTGCAGAGGCGTGTGAGGATGGGGGCGGCGGGGCGGTGCATTGCGTGCATGTGTGCACGGGGTGCATGTGTGCATGTGTGTGCTTTCCCAACCCCCACCCCCAGCCCCCACCACCCTCACCACCCCTCACCCCACCCCACCTGGATGATCATGTCGGCCTTCTTCTTCTGCGGGTCGATGTAGGCGTCAAAGTCGGGCTTGCGCGCCTCGATGGAAGCCTTGATGCTCTCCAGGCTGTGCCCGCGCTCCGCCATGTCGCGCTGGATCTTCCACGCAAACTTGATCTGCGGGGGCAGGGGCGCGAGCGGGCGTGTGTGCGTGTTCACGGTGTGCGGTGGCCTGGGCGGCGGGGGCTGACGGCACAAAGGGCCCCATTCATCAGTGCAGCCGCCGGCCAGCGGCGCAGGGCAGCAGCCAGGGGAGCAGTCTGAAGGGCAGCCGCCACCTCTACCACCACCACCACAAACACCACCACCACCACCACCACCCACCCAACACACACACACACACACACACTGCCCACCTCGTCGGAGATGTCGAGGTAGATGCGGAAGTCGACCAGCTCGTTGACGCGCTCGTCGTAAAAGGGGTGCAGCCCCTCGATGACCAGGATGTTGGGGGAGGAGGTGGGCTCGGGCGGGTCCAGCAGGCCCGTCACGTGGTTGTAGATGGGCTTGTCCACAGCCTTGCCCTCCTTCAGGGCCTTGACCTGGAGGAGAGGGAGGGGAGGGTGGGTGGGATGGGGAGGCAAG